AAATCCCTGCAGAAACAAAGAAAGCAAGCATCATGCTGCAGGCTCAGAGAAAATGAAAAGCTGACACTCAAAATAACAACCCATGTTGTCATTAATGGATGAAATTAAGAGAGAGCCATTCACAGACATAAAAGATTTCAGAAAAAATACTGCTTGCATGTTCCTTTTGGAAAATAATCATTAAAACTGTATCCCAAATAACTGAGAAGGGAAGATATCAAATCTGCAGCAAGCTTTGAATCTAGTCAGTAAGTATAAAAAATTTATGAAAATAACTGCAAAACTGAATTCAAAGATTTTCCTTAAAATAAGACATATATGAAAAAATATAACATAATATCAGAGTTGAAATGCCAAATCGTATAAAGACTCACATAGGTGTTTATATCACTATAAACAAAAATTTGCAAATTAAAAATGGAAAATAGTAAAACTGACAGATAATGGAATAAAAAGAGCCATTCTCTATATCTGAATTAATTATACTTTGCTTGCTTTACTTCAAATCAGTAGGGAGATGAACTTAGTGCTGGGAGAACTGATTAAAATTTTTGGAAAAAAATAAGTCAGATTCTTACATCATAACTCACACAGGAATAAATTCCAGAAGACAATATTGAAATGCAATAAAAATAATGGTATTAATAATAATGTTGTTGTTGTGGGCTTCCCTGGTGGCGCAGTGGTTGAGAGTCCGCCTGCCGATGCAGCGGACACGGGTTCGTGTCCCGGTCCGGGAAGATCCTGCATGCCGCCGAGCGGCTAGGCCCATGAGCCATGGCCGTTGAGCCTGCGCGTCCGGAGCCTGTGCTCCGCAACGGGAGAGGCCACAACAGTGAGAGGTTCGCGTACCGCAAAACAAAAAAATAAATAATAATAATAATGTTGAATATTTTACAGTATTGGAGAATGGGAAACATTTTTAAGAAAAGTTGTAAAAGTTATTCAAAGATAAATGTTTCATTTCATTAATATCAAATACATTTTCTAAATAAAAAACAGAAAAATCTATAGAAAATAATGAAGACTGAGGAGCAAATTCACACACAAGCTCTCTCTCCATCTCCTTCTGTCTCTGTCTCTCACACACGCTCAAACACACACAGACGCAGCCCCAAACGTGAAACCTCACTGGTAATCAAAGAAAGAAATGCCAAATAGAAACAACCACACAACATAATTTTCACTTAAAGCGAGGCCAAAATGTATAAATGATGTTGGTAAGAATCTGAGGAAATGTGATTTTATACTGCTGGGAGGGAAAATTTGTGGATATTTTCCAAAAACCAATTGAATAAGGTCCATAAAAAGCTTTAGAATTGCATATGCTCTTTGACAAGCAATTTCATCTTTAAGACTTTATCCTTAGAAAATTGATGAGAATATATACAAAGATTTATTATCAGGAATACTCATCACAGTCTACATAACAAAGAATATAGAACTGGCATAACTAACCAATAATAAGAAATCTCTTTTTTAAAATTAAGTCATACAAAAGAATACTGTATAGATATTAAAATTATATTGTAGAAAAGTAATGAATGATATAATGATGACCTAATTTTAACTAAAAAAATTCTAAAAATAATATGTACAGTATAACCTTATATTTTAAATCTTAAATGTAAAAAAATACAGGAAATATATGCACTATGTTATTAAGATTAAATTAATAACATTGTTTTCTGGGTTGTGGGTTATAATTTTTTTGACTTTTCAATGTTTACATTTTATATATTTTCTAAAATATATACTTTTTGTTAAAAGAAATATAAATGTATAATATATATTGTATGTATGTGTAAACTTATGACTGTTTAATTAATCTCTTCTAGGCATTTATCTAGAAGAAATTACCAGAGGTACTGAGAATTATTTGGCTATAATTATTTTTGTCATGAGATTATTCACAACAGCCAAAATTTGGATATATACTTAATCTGAGAATTTGTTACATAAGTTATGTTGAATCTATTTTATAGTATACATGCAGCCATTAACGTTCATATTCTCCCATATTTTTTCACGACTTTGGAAAATGCTAAAAAAAGTAAATGAGAATAAGATAAATTATTATAGATCATATGATCCCAACCTTATATAAACAAGAGATGTTAAATGAGTCCAGCGTTCCAGTCCTAATGATTTACATCATAGAATGATGAAAGATTCACCAGATTCATTCAATAAATTACCCAATTAGAAAAACTATCAGTGATGAGAGAGGTAAAATAATGCTAGAGACCGAATGATATTGATTATTGTTCATTTCCAACCTGAAGAGAGATGTCTAGCATGTCAGCCACCTGTATATAAAGCTTTGATTTGATCTACTTCTTTATCAGTAGGGTTTCCACTATTATACATTGTATTTTAAAACATCAGATGTCCCAATGCTGAGATCAAATACTAATATATAATATAATACATATAATATAATAATATAATATAGATCGACAACTCTCAATACATGAGAGCAATGACATAAAAGTAATATAAAATTTGACAGATAAAAATATGAAATCCTAGAATTAAGTTCAAAATACATTAGAGCAACTACATGATGAGGAAACCTGTTTTAACAACAAGTCGTTCCAATTTAAAAAAACTCAAATACGGGGGAAGTGATAAATTAGGAGTATGAGAGTAACAAATACACACTGCTATATATAAACTAGATAAACAACAAGATTTACTGCAATATCACAGGAAACTATATTCAATATCTTGTAATAACCTATAATGGAGAAGAATATGAAAATATATATATATATAAAACTGAATCACTTTGCTGTACACCTGAAATTAACATATATTATAAATCAACTATACTTCAATTTTAAAAAAACCTCAAATATTGTCATTGAATTCAAGCCCAACATCCAACAGGACACCAAGACTTTTCCAAAATGAATACAATTATATCCTGCATTAATGGAAACAGTGTCCACAAGAGGGGGAAATCCCATAATTCTTGACAACACCTAGAATAGCATGTCCTGCTCCGAGACCACTTTAGGATGCTGTGAACAGAGGAGAGTGACCAGGATGATAAATGTTTGGGAAAACAGTTATCAGGAAGGCTTGTAGGAACTGGGTGTGTTGAAATGGAAGAGAGAAGTTTTATGTGAAACACAATGGCCATTTTTAAATATTAGAAGGTTTGTCCAATGACCAGAATGACTAAGCAGTCAGTGCAGGCCAGGCAGCAGGAGTAGGGAAGTTAAAAGGAAGATATAAAAAAGCTGACTTCGCTTTGGTATGAAACAGAACTTTCAGACTGAGAGACTAGGACAATCCTGAATCCTCCCTCTACCTCCACAGTATTTCCTCACGCCCTCAGCTGCCAGATGCTGCATCCATTCCGTGGATGATAAGCACTGATTAAAGGGATTAGGCCTCTTGCATCTGGAAAAACAACCATTTGAAGATGATGAAGTCCATTTCAAGTTAACAAAGATGTATGCACTAAATTTCAAAAATAATAAGGCCTCACCTATGAACAAATAAATTTAAAGAAAAAAATGATTGTGTTAAGAGAAAGCTTTTGCTGAACCCAGAGTATATTCCAGGAACAATTCTAAAGGCTTTACCTAAATTGTCTTATTTACTGCTCACAAGAACTCAATGTGCTAAACAGTTATTTTTATTTCATAGATTAGAAAAATAAAACTGGGAAATGTCACGCAGGCTCAGCGGCCACGGCTCACGGGCCTAGCCGCTCCGCAGCATGTGGGATCCTCCCGGACCGGGGCATGAACCCGTGTCCCCTGCATCAGCAGGTGGACTCTCAACTACTGTGCCACCAGGGAAGCCCGCTCATGTTCTCTTTACTTCAACATTATGTCCTACTGGCACATAGGAGGTGGAATTAGAAAATACATTAAGGCATAGGCAAAAACATGAATATCATTTTTGAAGAAGATAATGAAATCTAGAACATAGATTAGTGATTTATTCTTTGCAAGAAGTTTCTAGAGTTCAAAAAAGTGACCTTGAGACTTTTACTTCTATCATTTTCTCAGAAACAGCACATATAATTCTATTTATAAAGCACTTTACATTAACATACTTTTTTTACTTTTAAACATAAAGCATATTTCTCAGAGAATCTGAAAACTCTGTTAACTGACACTCCTGCATATTTACCATAATATGCCATCCTGTCCCTGAGCTTTCTGTGTGATCTTGAATTGCCTTCTGAGTCATCCAAAGAAAGTATAAATTAGGCATAGAACAGGATTATTATTAGGTATAGTCTACTATACCCTTATTTCTTGAATGTGTGTAGCTTGAATTTTTTTTTCTGGTAACCAGAATACTTTATTACTCAATTATGCAAAATGACACAAAATTTCTTGTAGTACTTTCCCCAGCAGGAAGCAAACACACCAAACTCTTTACTTCAAGAGATAGCAGAAGTGAAAAATAAATTACAAAGGAAAAAATAATTAAGTTTAAAAATCTAGAGAAGTTCACAAACAAAAGAAAGAAAATATGTTGTAGTAGGAAGCTAACCTATTTGAAATGTATTCTTTAAAACTGAAGTGATTATGAGGCAGAATAGACACATTCTTGGTCAGAGAGAGAAAACTTGATTGCACAGAATATCTTGGACCTGACCACATGTCTGTGTTTTTTTTTTAATTGAAGTATAGTTGATTTACAATGTTGTGTTAGCTTCTGGTGTACGGCAAAGTTATTCAGATATATATTAATATGTATACACATATATGTCTATATATACACATATTCTTTTTCATATCCTTTTCCACTATGGTTTATTACAGGATATTAAATATAGTTGCCTGTGCTACACAGTAGGGCCCTGTTGTTTATCTATTTTATATACAGTAGTGTGCATCTGCTAATCCCAAACTCCTAATTTATCCCTCCCCGCCTTCCCCTTTGCTAACCATAAGTTTTGTTTCTATGTCTGTGAGTCTGTTCCTGTTTTGTAAATAAGTTAACCACCTGGTTTATTTTTATGCTCTTACTTTTACAGGTACTCTGAAACTTGATGATCCAGGCAAGTGTCACATGCTTGCTATGGACAGACTTCAAGATCATAGGAACACATCTGGGGAACTCTCACCCCATGGCTTCTAAAAACAAAAACAAAACAAACAACTAACTTTGAGAATTCTTGTAGATAAGCCATAAATACACATAGACTCTAGTGACTACCTCCTTCCCAATATTAGATTTTCCCACTTGAACAGGAGAAGGGTTTACGTACAGAAGGTCCTTTCAATTAAGGCCCCCAGTTGTAGGAAACACAGAAAAGTCTGTTAACTATGATCAGGGAGTTTCAAAGAGTAAAAGATAGAGATCAGGACAGGAAGGCAGTGCCAAGAGGAGCAGCATTAGGACAGATCAGGGGCAGGAGGCCTAAGGTGAGGCTGCAGGAAAGAGTAGATAACAGGAATCTATATACTGGGTGGTGACCAGAGATAATAATAATATGAGCCCTAGTGGATTAAATTTACCACAGGTTGTCAAGTGATTTAATCCCTGCAGTCTGTTGATGGGTGGAGTGTAGATGTGGGGAGTACCAAGGCCTTTCCAGCATCAGTCTGTGGCCTTGCTCACCAAAGGATATCCTGTTTCTGGTGGACAGAGAGACTCAAGTTTCCTTAGAAAGATCCAGCAATGACCTGGATTGACTTGACTATGAATACACTTATCTCTGTGTTTTAGAAACACCATTGATATCTCTCTCAACCAATGGTGAGGTCGGGGAACATTCTGCATTCATCTTAGTGCCTTTAGTACACTACAGGAGCTCAAAACTATTCATTGAATACACCACTGAAGGTGAAAGACAAGAAAGATGCGAAGAATTCAGAGAACCACAACGACTCACACCACAGCTTCAGAAAATAATGACATTCAAAACTAGTAACAAGATGCAAGAGGGAAGAGATATGGGAACATATGTATATGTATAACTGATTCACTTTGTTATAAAGCAGAAACTAACACACCACTGTAAAGCAATTACACCCCAATAAAGATATTAAAAAAAAAAGAGGCAATAAGTGGCTTTAGGAAGATTGCAGGATGTAAAATCAATATACAAAGATCTGTTACTTCCAAATACTACTAATGAACAGTTCACGATTGACATTTTTTTAAATTCCAGTTACAATAGCATTAAAAAGTGTTATATTCCTAGGGATAAATCTGGCAAAACATGATTAAGGTCTGCACATTTAAAACTATAAAACATTGCTGAGAGAAATCAACGGCCTAAATAAATGGAGTGATTTACAAGTTTCATGGGTCAGATAACTCAATATACCAAATATGTCAAATTTCCCCCAAATTAATCTGTAGGAAACAAAGCATTCCCAATGAGAATCCTTTTTGTATAAACTGACAAGATGATTCTGAAATTCATTTGGAAATATAAAGAACCTAGGGAAATCAAAACAACTTTGAAAAATAGGAGGAAAAAAAACCCAAAAAACTAGGAACAGCAGAAACTAACACAACATTGTAAAGCAACTATACTCCAATAAAGATTAAAAAAATAGGAACAACTTTGAAAGTCCCAATAAAGATTAAAAAACAAAGGTAGAAGGCATAGATCAAAAAGCTAAGGGGGGCTTCCTTGGTGGCGCAGTGGTTGAGAGTCCGCCTGCCGATGCGGGGGACACGGGTTCGTGCCCCGGTCCGGGAGGATCCCACATGCTGCGGAGCGGCTGTGCCCGTGAGCCATGGCCGCTGAGCCTGCGCGTCCGGAGCCTGTGCTCCGCAGCGGGAGAGGCCGCAACAGTGAGAGGCCCGCGTACCGCAAAAAAAAAAAAAAAATCTAAGGGTTATGGTATTTTAAGGCATTAGTAATTAAGGATATGACATGATTTTGAAGTGAAAGCTATTTGCTCTGGGAGACCCTTTTGGTTCTGATGGGAACTGATGTCAGAGAATAGAAAACAGATTCCAGGGCAAGCTCAGAAGTCTCACTAACAAATCGGTTCATGCTGTGGTTGTGGTAGTGTCTACAAAAAAATTAATCAACTATCAAAGAAAGAGATGGAAAATTTTATTTGAGCCAATCTGAGGATTATAACCTGGGAGACAGTCTTTCAGAAAGCTCTGAGGACTGTTCCAAAGAGGTAAAGGGGGAGGTCAGCATACATGTTATCCTGGCAAAGGGGGTACATGCAATCAAGCACACATCTCAGTAAAAGGTTGCTGCTAGTCATGAGAAACAGACGTCTTAGTTGACGGCTTTAGTGCTTCCCCAGGTATGGCAAGATGTAAGAATCCAGTTTCATAAAAGATTTCTCCTGAAAATATCTAACTATTTGAAGGCCTGTTCTGTCAGTTTTCCCAGAGCACAGATTACCTCATCCTGATCTTCACCCCAAGTTCCTTTCAGAGTGTCTGGTAGGTCAGTGGCTGCAGTGGATGATAATTTGATTATTGTAGAACAAGATGGTGGGCAACATTCTTTACTTTATAATCCCTTCCCTTTCGCTCTTAATTTCCACCAAGGTTTGGGAGGCAGTTCATAACCAATTTGTCCCATGGCACTACGAATGCCCATTCCCAGGTCAAGCAAGAATTTCGTTGATAAGCCACTCGAAGTGCTATTACTGGACTGGCCCTGTTAACAGTAGCCAAAAGCTTTTGGACCGCCTGTCCTACAGTTTGTTAAGGTTCAGGAAATGGTTCCCTCTGGTTGCTTCTTCCCATATCGAGAGTTACACTATTATAATCATTGATCTTATAGGACTATATATTTGGTCAATTGTTTCAAGTCACCTAATCACATTACTTTTATCTCAGGATTAGTCACACATTTGATAATGCAAGAAACAACAATCTTGTAAAATAGGCAAAATACAAGTAACATAACTAGTAACATTACTAAGGTCATAAGTAAGTATTTAAGCTGGAAAATTCTATTAAGTGTGGCCCAGTATCTCCCCAGGTCATCTGACCAGTCTGTTCTGCACCAATTGCTATCTCTAAGGGAAATGATATATTGTCACTGTACATAAAGTTCACCAGAGTCATCTGCACACACAAGGCAAGTGGTGGGTCACCATGATCCCTACAAGATTGAGAAAGGAATGTTATCTCCTAAGGAGTTTCATGACTAGCTCCAGAAGAAGAAAAATTGATCTTTATGCTTAAGCAGCTATTTCTGCCATTGGGGAGGTCTGGTTGATGCACAATGCACACTAGAGGGGAGGCAGGAGGCCCAAACTGGCAGAGAAATATTTTATGTTTAAATTTTCTTGTCTTGCCTTAAAATAGAAATTTTTATCTCATCGGCAGGTAAGTGAAATGGTGATTGGAGCAAGAGTAAGAGAAATTCTTTGTTGTAGTTACTCTTTCTCCCTCTAATTTCCTTGCTCCATCTTCTCCAAGTAACAACTGTGTAGACAAAACCCCTCACCCTACAGTACACACTTCCCTAAATGTATTGTCTTAAGTTTGCTTGAGTGAAACACATCTGCCACATCTCCGCCCTGCCAATGGTAATAAATATTTCTTGCCTCTTCAATTTTTAAATCCATTATAAAATCAGCCTCCAAAATGATTTTTAGGTCAGCAGGGGAAGGGTATGTGATTCCTAACAATGACCATAACAGTGGCACTCCTAATAAGTGAATTTGAGCAATTAACTGATACTCGATTTTCCTGTTTTCCTCAAGTGTAAAAAGAAGGTTAAGAAAAATACCTCCCCTCCCCTTATGAGATCATATATGGGAATCACAGGGTAAATTATAAAGAGTTTAAAAACATTAGCTACAAGTATCTTGCTGGTTACACTTCACCACCTGCAGAAAGGCCTGTTAATCCCTGTCATCCCATCTGCTAAGGACTCCAGATACTGACTATAGACCCGGACTCTTGACCAAAGGTTTGAAGTGGAAAGTCATTCAGAAAAAAAAAAAGAAAAATATATTAACCACTGGTTTTTATAGAACTGCAGGGGACAATAAAAATTTTGTTCCCAATCAATTACTTGAAGTTTGCCATCTTTGCCACTGGCAAGCATGCAAACATTTAAAAAGTATCTAATGAGAGCAAGTGATTGCACAGACCCTGCACACTGCTCGATTGTTCTCTGATGTGCCCTAAATGTGCTGACACCAGCTTTCCTTTATCTGTGAAGGAAACCTCCAGGCCAGGAACCTCAGATGGCTCCATCAATAGAAAGTGCATTGTGCTTATTCTAATTCAGTAAAGATGCACAAAGACCAGAATCTTGGAAGTAGTGAAAAGTACTTCTCAAATGTCAAGAAGAACATGGAAGTGGAAATACAAAATAAAAGCCTGATCAAAACTAAGCTTTGGATGGTTTCTTTTGTATTAAAGTAATATCAACCATGAAACAAATCTGAAGGCAAAAAATGGACACATCTGAAGTGTTGCTTATTTACTTGATCTCATCCTGAAACTATCATTGACCTGCAGCATTTTTCTCTCCTCCTTAGATTCAATTCCATACACTTTGTTCATTCATTCATTCAGTGTTTTATTCATTTAAAAATTTCATTAGTATTCAATTTTAGGCATTGCATTAGTTGTAGTATCGCATTCACGAAGCAATTATTGTGTCCCAGGTATCCTAGTAAGGGCTTTCTATTAATTATCTTATTTAACCCTGCTAACAACTCTGTGAGATAGGCCCTTTATTCTGTCCATTTTACAGATGAGGAAACTAAGACCCAGGCAGGTCACATTACTTGTCCAAGCTCATCCAAATAAGCTAGTAACTGGTGCACCAGTAATTCAAACCAGGTTTGTGTACCTTCAAAGTATGAGTTCTTAAGTTTTATATTAAAATGCCTAGGTGTTGGGGCTCTAAGCACTGAGAGAACAGGGTCCTACTTGTTCGTTCTAGTAGAGGAATACACAGGAGGGGCTGGGAGACTGGGGGAAGATTGCTGAACCTCACCTGAGGAGAACAGTGTCAGGAGAAGTGAGAGAGGTAGGGAGGGAGGGAAGGAAAAACCTTAAAAATTATGGTAAAGAGTTTAAATTTTATACTGAAAATTATGGAGGAAATCTGAAAGATTAGCCATTTTTGAAGATTACTGTGCCCGATTTATGTTGGCAGAACTGGAACAGGGCATG